AGAGAGAGAGAGAGACAGACAGACAGACAGACAGACAGAGAAGAAGTAAGAAATGAAAAGAAAAGAAAAAAGAACAATAGGAAGGCAAAGAAGATAATTTTTTTTTTAAAGTCGATCCGCAAAATCTAATATCTAGAGCTAATCCAAAACCAACTAAAAGTAAAATCTGCATTCAAAATTCCCCAATAAAAATCCCTGAAATTATGATTTTCATCGTTCTCCATTACTCTCACCTGATTTTAAGAAAATCAATCTCAAATTTTGTAATATCACAGTACTCATTTGCAACTTTGGAGCTTCGACCAGTTTTTTTCATCTAGCGCCGGAAATAGCAACTAGCAAGATCAACAGATGAATCCTTTTCAGCCATACAAGTGGATTGACCAGGAAACATAAAATCAATAGTTATAACCATTTCCTTGACAGGCTCATTAAATGGCATGACTCCTACCTTAGTGTTTTCCATGTTTTGTGAGCTTCATAGTCTCCCTTGCCTTGCTTGATGTCTACATCATATAATTCTTGTTCCAAAAGTTTCATGTTATCCTTGACTATTGCAATCCACAACCTCTAATTTTTTTCATACTTTTCTTTATGCTCTTCATGATGATGCAGAATGAGAGGAGAAGAATTTTACTCTACAACCTTTCCTTTAATATCCTTAAAATATTGATTAAAGACTCCATCAAAGGTTTGGCCAAGGGTGTGACAGAGCTGAGTAACAGTTTCAAGGCCAATGTTACCAGATTGAGAAAATCTTCCTTTTCTTTCTCAAGATAAACTGAAATTTGTAAACTTGTTATAAAATTGGATGCCCATCATAAATATGTCCCTGCAAAATAGTTGTAGCTGAAACAAGACTCTGATATGATTGATACTCGATTGCAACTTGGTATTACTTCAAAAACGTGTCAATCCCAGCACACATCCATAAAGCGAGAATAGTTTCTTTCTTGTATAGGAATAAAGGCAGCATGCTTGACACTTCACATCAACCTACCAGGGTATACACTGTGATGAACTGTGACCAGAGCAGTTAGATTTAGCCTACCTTCAATCAGTGAATTCAAATCCCTAATTATGATTTCTATCATCAGCTCGGCAACTAAAAACCAATAATACTTCAACGACACGCATCACTTAGATGTATACTAGATTGAAAAAAATAAAGCAATCAAACTATTAAACGAAAATTGTCTAATGAACAAGTTGACATCGAATAAAATATATAATAGATAATAGCACCTCTCTCCTCCATTGTGAGATTGAAGCCCTAAGCAGAGTAAGAAAGTGCTGAGCGTCCATAGCATCCTTCATGTCTACAATAACTCCTCCATGGACATCATTGGTTGCAGGAAGTAGTTCAACATGCTGGATTCCATTTTCACAAACCCGGTCCGATGAATTTACGGAAATTGACATCGTTCCAACCAAAAAAGAAGTCAGAAGCCCAAAAATACCTGAAAGAAAACACCCAAAGAGAAAAGGAAAAGATAAAACTGAGTTACACCTCAAATATGCATCTTTTTCTCAGCAAACCGGATTTCCTAACCAAATGAGAATAAAATTACAGCCCCAATTGACAAAATGGTAGTGATTATTCATGAAATCACTATGGTTGGCAGCTATACTTCACTCGTTAAAATCCAAATTCTTTTGTAACATTCATACAAATCCATTATCATTTTCTTAGAATATCACATTGCACACAGATAATAAAACAGTGGATAGGTCAAAACCATTCAAGTGCAACAATAAGAACCATTATTACAAATTCTATCAATTCCATCAAACAGAGAAAAAAAATAAAAAACTTCAAAATCACATTTCAGAGAAGAACAACAACAGATACAAGAAGCTTGAAATATTATTATTGACACAAGCAAATATATAGAAAAAGTATAAAAGATGAACCTGAAGTGAGCACCAAAACAGACCCTAAGACAGATTTGAATTCGTGAAGAAATGCTGCGAGTTCTACAAGTCTATGATTTTTCACTCTGTTCAGCTCCACTATCCAACGGTCCAGTTTTCCAAGTGCGGGCCTTTGGATATTTATAATTGTAAGGTTGGGGATGGGGAAAAACAACTACGGCGAAGTGGGGGGTGACGTAGTTCCACCCATTTGCATACCAATAGGATCGCTGATTGCGTCATCAGGGTCTCTTCGGCTTGCGTGGAGGAATATTAGTGGGGGGGACCGCCATTAGTGACAGAGTGCAGGCGGAGAAACGTACTGCTTTTTGCTGTTCAAAGTTGGGTCTTACCCAACTTATGAGTGCTTTTATTAGAAAGTATGTTATCTTTATCAAAAGTTCAACCCGTTTTTATAAGGAGCACTCGTTTGAGAGTGATTTTATATAGACTAATAATTATTTATTTATATAATTATTTTTAAATAATTTTATGAAGAAGCACATAAGAGTACGTGGGAGGTGTTTCTTCTCATAATTGCTTAAAATCACTTAAAGTTAGGGTTCGTCAATGGGCCGGGCCGGACTAGCCCGGCCCAAATTCAATGG